CTGGAGTGCAGTGGCATGATCTCAGCTCACTACAACCTCTGCCTCCCAGGTTCAAGTGATTCTCCTGCCTCAGCTTCCTGAGTAGCTAGGACTACAGATGCACACCATCACACCCAGATAATTTCTGTACTTTTAGTAGAGACAATGTTTCATCATGTTGGCCATGCTAGTCTCAAACTCCTGGACTGAAGTGATCCACCTTCCTCGGCCTCCCAAAGGACTGCGGTTATAAGCCTGAGCCACCATGCCCCGCCTTGATTTTTTTTTTTTTAAACCTAACAATATACCAAGAACCTTTTCTTACGCTGATAATCTTCTATATTATGATATTTACTGGCTGACGAGTGTTTTATCTACAGATAAACCACAGTTTATCCACTATTTAACTTATTAATCAATTGTGCCATTTCTGATACTCTTTTAAATAATATGGTGAATAGTCACAAACATTTTATATACATCTGGTTATTTTTCTGACCTATATTTCTGTAAGTAGAATTTTTGAGGTCAAAAGGCATACAGATTTGTCAGGCTATTCAAGAAATGTAAAAATGAGGCTAGGAACAGTGGCTCACTCCTATAATCCCAGCACTTTGGGAGGCCAAGGTGGGTGGATCACCTGAGTTCAGGAGTTCGAGACCAGCCTGGCCAACATGGTGAAATCCCGTCTCTACTAAAAATATTTTAAAAATTAGCCAGCTTGGTGGTACGCACCTGTAATTCCATTTACTCAGGAGGCTGAGACAGAAGACTTGCTCGAACCTGGGAGGCAGAGGTTGCAGTAAGCTGAGATTGTGCCACTGCACTCCAGCCTGGGTGACAGAGCAAGACTCTGTCTCCAAAACAAAAGAAAACAAATGAAATGTAGAAATGAGAGTATAAGGGTATAATTAAAATTTGTTTTAAAAAGCCACACAAACAGTAATAACATTGGCTCTCTTCTCATTTTTTTTCCTTCAGGCCCAATATGTATTGATTTCTCCCGAAGTAAGTATTCCTTGAAGGACTTAAAGAAAAAAAAAAAAAAAAAAAAAAAAAAAAAAAAAAAAGCCCTTTGGCTTTAAAGTATTACGTTGTGTTCTCCAAAGCCCGTTAACTGAGTGTGTTTTATAGGCCAGCTCAAGATTTGGGAGCTCTCTGATCACCGTGAGGTCCAAGGCAAAGGTGAGCCCAACGACTGCACTTCATTGATGTTTATGTTAGTGCGAAAGGTGGGATTTGGTGGTCTCACCTTTAGGTTTAGTTCAGATTTTATTTTTATTTGAAAAGGAAAAGAACACAAAAAGCAACGTTCACATATAATCCCATCACTTTCTTGGTGTAAAGTTTCCCTTTTTATTCTCTACAGCAGGGACTGGGGTCAACCCGTCTGCCACCTAGTTTTGTAAAGCCATGAACTGAAAACATCAGCTCATGTTAAGATGGCTAGAAAGAAATCAGAACAGAGTATTTTGTAACATGTGAAGTTTCAATGCTGTTGACATGTCAGTGCCCATGCTGCTGTAGTGGAACCCAGCGGGCTCATTTGCTGTAGACTGCCCACGGCTGCTGTCGCACTGAAATGGCAGAACTGACTGGCCGCTTTGGAGACTGATGCCCCACAAAGCCTAATGTCTTTATTATCTGGCCTGTTCCCCAAAATTGTTTGCTGGCCCTTGCCCTGGAGGATAACCATTGTTAATAGTTTGCTGTTTTCTCCCAGACTTTCAGTTTTTCCTTTATTTTTTACATAGAACCTTGCCCTGTTGCCCAGGCTGGAGTGTAGTGATGCAAATTCCGCTCACTGCAACCTCCACCTCCCCAGTTCAGGCGATTTTCCAGCCTCAGCCTCCTGAGTAGCTGGGATTACAGGTGTCCACCACCATGCCTAATTTTTTTTCTGAATATTTTGTAGAGAAGGGGTTTTGCCTTGTTGTCCAGTCTGGTCTTGAACTCCTTCCTGGCCTCAGGTGAGGTGCCCGCCTCTGCCTTCCAAAGTGCTGGGATTACAGGCATTTGCCACCACACTGAGCCCAGAGTTTTTCTATGATTTTAGAGAGAGAGAGAGAGAGA